TATTAAATTAATAAGTGATTTCGTCACTACGAAAGTAAGATGAATCTTATACGCTGTACCATCGTCATTTGCCATGAATTTACTTCATTTAGTTATTAAAATATTGCTCAAGAAAATAATATCTGAAGCTTATGAAGATCGAATCGATTAACTGTAGATTTCTAGATTAAAACAAACTGATGGAAAAGTCTCATCTATTAGTCTTTATATGGTATTGGAAAGCAAGAAAAGTTTTCACTACCATCAATAAATCATTACAACACATCATTGTATCAACTGAGTTAAGTTCCTATATTCCATGAAGATTGAAAGAAAGGCAGTCTCTACCTGTTGGCTCAGATGAGTAGTAGTGTATGTTTACTGATTAAAGACAATATTCTGACTAAACATTCAATCTCACTAAAAGATATATTCTATATGCATCGTAAAACGAGAAATTTATGTTTGGAATCATTAAAGAATTACATTTAAATCTGCTGATCATACAAGAAAATAAAAAGTTGACTGAGATTGAGTCTCTGTTATTTATTGATTATGACCGAAAGTTTAAAAATAGTTAATAGATATTTCTCTATTGGTATCGTTTGATTATAGGAAATCCTTCATCATAATTTTATATAATTAAAATATATCTAATATTGCGATGATCTTTAAAGATTTGTTCATTATCTGAGTAATAAAATAAATTTAATGATTTCTAAAAGAAAAACGAAATCCAAAACTTTTTTTGAAAATATTCTCATCCTAGTTACTTACCTCAATGGCATATTTCTTTCACAAGAGGGTGTGGGTGTGGGGTGTGATGGATTCATCTGTCATACACTCATCGCTGGGAGCAGTGCCTCTGGTTATCATTATTCTCTTTCTCTCTCTTTCGCGTACACATATAAATACCCTTGTTCAACTGTTATTCATCAGTCATTCTTGACTCAACCTTCTTCTCCTATCCTTTTCCTCCCTTTTTCGTTGTAATCCTTGTATAATATATAAAAGAATGAACTACAAGTAACTCAAAACCGCTACATGTTGTTCATTCCGTCATAGTCTTATCGATACTCAAACACACATCCCAGACACCCAGATAGTCATTCAGATAACCCACACGTACACATGCACACATCCACACCCACACCCAAATTTCATGAGATTTCGATGACAACAAGTGTATGCTACTTTTTGTCGATGATGATGAGTAGCCAGATAAGAATCAATTTTGTAGTTTTATTCTTCAGTTATTTTTGAAAAAATAACTGAAGAATCATCAGATAAATTCATACAAACTGCATAGCGATGTATATATTCTAAGCTTGTAAATATCTCTTCTCCTTAGATATTAATTTTGCAAAAGTTGAATCTAAACAATGAATAGCTGGTTAATAAAAAATAAGGTTGCGAATTCTGAAATTTGCTTTTAAAGAAATGAAATCGAAATTGTCATGATACATTTGATTCAAAGTTTCAATTCTTCTCTACAAATGCAAAATAACATGTTAGTCGATATGGATTAGATTATTTTGTTCCGATTAATCTTTTTTTGAATCAATATTTTTGTTCGTATATAATCAATTATAGAAATTTTAACCTTCGAGTAAAGGTAGACATTCAATCGATGCATATTATCTGGTTGTGAAACGATCATAGCAGAATTATGAATTAGAATGAACTGTCTTCATCTACATTGATCTTTTGTATTTACTTTTTTAAAACTATAATGAGATAGCTTATGTTGTTCAAACCTATTTCAATAATATTGAGAAATTTAATTCTAGATAATATGCATGTTGTTGCATCTCGTTTAAAACAGTACAATACGTTTTCTTAAGTTAATCTTTTCATAGATGAGAATAACTTAGAAATATAACGAAAGTTATTTGTTATTCAATGACAGTGACATACATTTTTCATTAGAAAATAATCGATATATGAATTATCGTTAAAACTACGAAGATTATATATTGAATATCTTTGTTTGATGATATACTACATTGACTAGGAAAAACAAATAAATGAACATATATTTATGAGTTAATGAAAAGGATTTTAAATTAGAAATTTTCTTCTTAAGAACACTAAAAGGACATCTTGAAAATTAATTATTGTTGATAGAAAAAAAAGTGTATCAAATAAGATACGACTTTCATCATCGACTAACGAGCGATAATTTTCGTACGAGTCTATTACAACATGTGATTCTAACAAAGTGAAAAAAAAGCAGTCTGAGCATTTACGACAGTGAATAATAAAATATAATTTTTGAAAATGCAAAGTAAAAAACCTTCATCTAAATAAACACGAATGATTTTTGTAAGTTTGTTCGAGGTAGTTTGTTTTGGAATCTATCTTTCTTCACAAGCTTCTATTTGCCGTAGCTTAGAACAATAGCGTTAAACAATAGGAATTAAGATCAAACACTTGCAAATAATTATAAAATCTGTAGAGAATTCGACAGAACAATGGTACGTGGTACGTAGTACACGCTTTTCAATACCAATTGCTTCTAGATCTAAGAAATCAATGAGAAAACATAAATTCTATACTTCAAAAACGTTTTGTTCTTTCACAACGCATTTGTTTATTCGAATTGAATTTTCATCATAATACTGATTTTCTCTTTATTCTTTATGCCATGACTTCAATATCTTGTGATTATAATCCTATCTATGATAAGTATCAGCTATATTCTTTGTTTATTTTCGTCCAGATTTCGACAGATTTTCATTTCAATAAAATTATTAGAAATAAAATGAATAGTTAACAAGTATTGTAGTTAAACGTGTTTGATTGAATGTAATCTTCATACTATATTCAGTTCATGTTAACTAGCACTAGTCAATGAAATGAGTACGAGTAATCGAACCTTTCATCCATCGAACTTTACAAAACAAAAAATAATGAAATAAATAAGAAATAGAGGTAATAAAAACTTTAGAGAAATACTATTTTAAACATAAATTTTTTGGATTCACATTATTCATGAATACATGGAATCAGAAGCTCTTAAAATAGATTATTTAACTATTACAGGAATTATTATGTTCATTTCAATATAGTTACACGTTGTGAATTACTGCGCATTAATAGTACGGTTGTTTTATTACAGTTATATATAATATATTTACCATTAAGTGAATATGATTCTTATTGTAATGTCTACAAATTGAAAATGACTTGCTTGAAAACACGTGTATCTCTTAATCGAACAGGAAATATAATATTCACATCTATTTAATTTTAAAATGCTTATTGATAACTACAAGGTTGAAGAATGACTAATGTGAAAAAGTTGATAGAAAATTACTACAGAAGGACATCCCAATCTATCAGCTACATTTTTGCAGCTTCCGACGAGAAGTTTCTACATATAATCTTCATGAAGCGACTTTTTTTTTCATTGTAAAAAATCATATATTTTTATCCATTTACTGATTTCTTCACATATATTCTTACATAAATATATTCCTCTTACTAGTTTTTGTCTTATTTTGGATATACAAAATTCATGTAAAGTCAACATGATTTTCCCGAAAATCTATAGTGTTTCATTTTGTTGAATTAATTTAATTCTAAATGAACTTCCATCTTGACCATTTGTATTATTATTGTTGATGTAGAGATTCGTGTTATACGAAGACGAAAATTTACAAGTGGTTTATTATTATTTTCGTCATTTATATTATCACATTCATACTTTTACTTTTAGAAACAGATCTACGACGAAATTTTTAATTGATTATCTAGTGTCATTTAATATAGAAGAGACTGAACTATATGACATGTACCATTTTTTTCCGTATCATTTTCATGATCTTGATTTAAATCAATTGGATGGTTTTTCAGTACAATCATCAAATTTTACCTTTTTCCTTAAGGAGAAAAATTTAAGACGTGTGTCTACATTATATATATATACAGAGAGAGAGAGAGAGAGACATTGATACTAAGTGACAGTCACACTACGGTTAGATATGAGTATACTCGACTTGCCTGACGAAATGTTACTTTGTATTTTAAACAAATCGAATAATATTAATGTGCTCTATTCACTTGTGGATGTAAATGAATGATTTGATAGATTAGCACTTGATTCTATTTACATTCGTGGTCTTGATTTTACAGCTAATGATAAATCTCAGGAATTTCATCAATTTCTCGATCGGTTTTGGACAAGTATTTTGCGTCGAATTCATCATCAGATAAACAAACTTACTCTTGGACAACTTTCAATAGAACGTCTCCTACATATTGTTGATTATCCTCAACTTTATTCATTATCGCTTGTCTTTTGTCAACCGGAAATAATTTTAAACTATCTAATAGGTAAGCGATTTAGAATTCTGTTTTATTTGATGATAACAATTTCTTGCACATGCTTAAGGCGGTGATTCAATACTTGTTCGTCTTGTTAATAAACAAATTACTCATTTTAATCTGAAGACCGAGTTCAGAACAACTGAATTATTTGATAGGTATGAACCGACTTTGTTTGCATTGATATTGTCATTTGCCAAATGTTTAACAGATTTCACTTTTGTACAATGCCTTCGAGACGCTTCACCGAATTCACTTCTTACTCTATTCTCAACTTCAGCAACATCATATTATCATGAGTTTGTTCCATTATTTCGTCGAATGTCAAATCTCGAAGAACTAACATTATTTCTTTTCGTGAAAGGAATCAATTCGACTTATATCGATGGCATTCATTTAAATGATGAAATTCTCGTTCGTATGCCACGACTAAACAAATTTACTTTCAGTATAACGACTCGTGTTTGCAACAGAAGGAGCAATATTTTTCTTCCTTCAAACGATGATATTCAGCGTAGTTTTATCGAAAGAAAATATCAACAAATTGGTTCATATGCTGATGATAATACAATAAAAATTAGAGCTCGATGTCATATTTATTCACTTCCATATCAATTTCGCATGTTTCACAATGTGACTAATTCTTTTCAAGGTGGCATATTTAGTAAAGTTCGATCGGTGATAATCGCTGATGATATATGCCCTTTTGAACATGAATTTTTCCAAATTATCTCACAATCTTTTCCTTTTCTTCAAACATTATCGATACAGAATGATAAACCACAAGAGTCTAAAAACAAAATTCGATTACATTCATTACATTTTCTCATCTTGCTGTTCTCAATCTTGAATTGGCACACATTGATTATGTTGAACAATTTCTCTTCGAAAGAAAGACTTGTTTGTTACATCTCACAATCCAATAGAATCTATTCAATCGAATGAAAATCATATTATAAAAATTGATAGCATAACTTAACCATTGAAAAAAGCTGTTAAAATATTTCGTTAATTCATAAATAAATAATATATAATTCTTGAATATTTATTAATAAAAATTAAAATCTAATAATCAAGGTTCCATATTAATACCATCGTTAGCAATAATACCAATCGACTTTTCTAACTTGAAAAATCACTTTTTTTCTCTAAGATGGAATAAGGTTAGAGCAAGGAAAAGTTACAGTAAAATGGTATGATGAGAATGATAAAAAGCAATGTTTAAACTGTTGTTCATGAATACAAAAGATTTTTAACAAGGAATGCAACTGGAAAACTTCAGCAGAACATTTGACACATTTCTCGTTGAGAAAAGCTCGATTCTCATAATAAATCGAATTTTAATTGTTCTCTAGAAAAACGATTATTGGACTGATGGAACAAATAATTACTAAAATGTTTAGAATTTTCTATTAACGCCATGTCTCTTACGAGTTTTGGTACAATCTATTTTAGGAAAGCAAACATAGTCTTATCTTATTATATATATATGTTTTAAGACACAAAATTATTAATAGTTCTTTTTTCTTGAAGCAATGTTACAAAATGTGGCGCTTCTCTCATAGATCTCATGATACGATTATGCTGGGTAATGAGAATGTAAAGTCATAGTATCCTAAGTTTATATAACATAAAGTGCATCTATATCTAGATCATATTCTGCCATAGATAAATGCTAACGAAATTTTCCGATAGCATCACTTGGGTAACGACTTCGTTACCCTAACGATATAACTATATGTTAAAAGTTGAGGAATTTGAGCTGTTTTGGTGTAATGACTATTGGGGTAATGACGTTACTCTAAAGATCATTACACCAAAACAGTTCAAATTCCTCAACTTTTCACATATAGTTATATCGTTAGAGTAACGAAGTCAGTACCCCAAAGGCCACTACTTCGCTGCGAGAAGTGTGTGAGTGTGGGTGTCCATGTTGATCTAATAGATATCACATACCCACACTCACACCCACACCATTATTTTGATGTGCAATCCTTCCTTCTCGATGTAACTGAGACAGAGAACGTGATTTTTTTGTGTAAAACAATGTATAAAAGTGTCTGAAGATCGATGTTTACGTAGTCAGCCATTTTTCATTCTATGACTTTAAAAAAGAAGTATAACTTTCCTCTTTACACAGCATCGATTTCTCGTGTCTGATGGGTGTGGATGTACGTGCGGGTATTCAAGTGAAAGAACTGTTTACGCCCACACCCATAAACTTTGATGTTCTAGGTCCAATATAAGTACTCACTTCAGAGTATTCTACAACTTCCCAACAAAAAACAAATGCTCCCTTATCAATTATGCAAATATCCATGCACTGGGATTATTTTTACGTTGGTATTCGAAGGCGATTTCTGTGATATGCTGATACCAGGGAAAGTGGTATATTAATTAAAAATGTAGAAGACTCATTTTGGTCTCGATTCTATAAAATCAAATCGTCATCAAGATTGAAAAAAATTTGCGAGATCTGAATTAAAGCTTGTGGATCTGGCCGATCTCTTCTTGCACATGTACACATCTTCAGAACTCACATCCTACGCGCAAACTCTACATTCGAGATAGCATACAATACATTGACTCATCTCACAACGAAGTAACATAAGTGTGACCGAAAATGAACATGAAAACTAATATAATTGTAAAATCTTATCAAATAAAATAAAATATATTTGTAGCACAGGGATGAACGCGATTATAACTTATCCGACATTCTCGCCCTCTATCACTAGTAAGAATTATTGGTCTACATTGATATTCGCTTCATTAAAGACAAAAAGCTTTCTTTTCTCGATTATTTCAGCTGTTCATTTTTGATATAAAACGAAGAACAAATATCATCGATCAACACAATTAACAGTTTAGCTTTTTAACTTCGAGTCAAGCAAGGCAGTGCTGGTAAGCATTGTAACTGACAAGACAATTTTCTTCATTCTATGTCAATTTTTTCTGCTGCTTAGATTTTCATTAAATGGCTGACATAAACGAATACTCAAACCAAACAGCAAAACGCACGGTTTCATTTTCAAATCTTTCTCAACGAGAAGCAGAAATAATACTCGGATTTAAACTACGCGATTTTTATGATTCTCAAACACAAATTGAACAATTTATTACAACGGCAGCACCAGAACAACTGAAGAATAAGATATTTGGACGATTAATCGATTGTATTGGATCAGAAGGATTCCCAGTGGCAACAATTTGTCCAATGAATCAATCGGTCGTGAAAGCCAACATCGGAATTATTTTACAGGCGATGGTTGCTTACTCTCAACGAACAATGAATCATGATGATTTAATGTTAAAACGTGAGATCGAAATCATTAGTAAGGACGAACAATTTGGCGGAAACATGGAATTTGCCGTAACTCAAATGAATGATATTGAAGCCACTCGTTATGTACTCGTTGTCGAAACAATAGGTGATTCACTTGGAAGGGGACTTACTCAAATGTTATTGACATTAAAATCTATGTGGGATGTAAATAATGATCAAAAGATGGTGCACGGATTCTTAACAACAGCAATCAATTGGCAATTAGTCACATATGATGGTCAAACGTGGAAATTATCAGAACCATCGACTCTTTTACTTGCCAATATGAGAAAACAAGAAGATCGATGGTTGAAAAACAATACACAAATATTGGATGCCATTTATAGTATTTTGGCGTCAATATAAATTTGTCTTTTTTTGTTACTATTTTGTTGAAAGTATAATAAACGACTTCTACATAAAGTTTCTTTTTTTTCTGAAAGATCTTCTCATTACTAGTTGACTTTTGTTTAGTAATTGATGTACAAGAATCGTCCGAAAAGGATTCATTATATAAAAACATGCTTACTCACACAACGAATGATTTCATAGCAAGAACATCTCTCTACGGAATCTTTATTTGTTACATTTTAGGATTGCATAGCTATCGCGGATTGTTTTCCTATATAAGAATTCGATCATCTAAGAATTGTATTCAATCATTTGAGATGAGATGACACGATTTTTTGAAATGTTATACCTACACGAATCCACAAAAATTGTTTTTTCGACAAACCAAGGAAGAAGAATTCGTAAAATGCTTTTTCAAGCCTTTTGGTCAAGAGGTTTTTCTCTTAATGCAATTTTAATTTTTTCCCAAAAAAGCTGCAAATAAAGCATGCTATGCACAAACACAATAGTACTACATATTGTATTCCTCTTTACTGATGATTAACGAATATTTCGTTATCTATCGATCATCACATCATCCAATAGAATCATTACTTTACTTTCTTCCGGATAAATCGTCCTTTTCGACTAGCTTCACTGTGGTTTCTTTCTCACTGCTTTGCGGGCTCAGCGAGACTCAGGGTCCATACCACAGAGAAGAATGTCGAAGAAAGAAATTTATAAGAAGAAGCTGCTAACATGACTGTTTTTCATTGGTCAATCTCGAATCGATCAATTTCGCACTAAGCATGAATGGCGATTCATTTCCTTGGTTTAATAGCTCAAGCGAAAACAAATTCGTACTGTGGATAACTCAATGAAAATTTTAGACGAAAATCTGTTTTTTGGTTTTCCACAATATGAATTTTATTGTCAAATGTAGCAAATGAAAATGTTTCTTAATCTTTTTAGATGGTTTTATTCAAAATTGTTTTACTTCCAAAGGATGAAAAGCAAATAAATCTTAAAAATCTTAATCTTGATACTTTAAAAAGAATTATGTATCAAAATAAACATAACACACTTATATTAGATTTAAAATCTGATGACAATGATATTCAAAACAAAATTGATTTAGCAGAAAATTTCCGAAGAAATTGTGCATTATCTATCTTAGAAGAACAAGATGAACGATAGCAACAAAATGTTTCAAAACAAAAAAAATGCATTCGATGATTCTAATACGACAATAATTAATAGTATGGATTTATGTATTATTGATGAACAAAATTCTCAAACATATGAAATAAATTACAATAAAAAAATTCTTGAATCCGATGATAATGATTCAAATAGACCAACATTTGATGACATTATTAAACTAGATGATACATCATTATTAGTTGTAGGTGAATTAGAAGATGATGAAATTGATGATAATAATATATGTCAACAAGAAATATAATATGATAAAAATGAAAATAATACATCTACGGCTAATAATAAAACAAATATTACAATTAATAATAATATATTAGAAAGTAATAATTCATGCGTTTTATCATCATCTGAAAAGTTTATTATTGAAAATATAATGAATCTTTCAAACAGATTTAGTTTGTTTGAAAAAAACGTAAATGAACAATTGGATATTCTTGAACGAAATATGAATAGACGATTGAGCAATGTGAAAAACAATGTAAATCTAATATATGAACGACAATCATTACAATCTTTATTGTTGTTACTAGATTCCGTTTATTTAATAACATCAGATAGATTAGAAACAAGAAGATTTGATGTTAATGAATCGTATTTTATGTTGAAGTTTTTTAATTTTATCTCAAAACAATTAATGATACATTATACAGATAGATGGTCAATATATGTTGATATAAGTAAAAAAATAAGTCTGAAACCAAAATCAATCGAGATTAATTTGTTAGGATTTGGGGTTATGGAAAAACCCACCTTTAAAAAAACGATATGCTCAATTCAATCGCCAACATCTTCATCTGTTCATAATTCCAACAACTTCAGATTATCATACGTCAGTCAATGCAAAAAAAATTATGGTAAATCACTGACGCGCGTTTTAGTCTTTGAAGGTACTACTTCATCCGTTTATTTTGACACAGAATTATTCAAAGAAATAAATTCATCATCTTCGCCAACATCATCAGACAAAAAAATAATACCAATGAAAACGTTATTAAAAAAATTAATACAACATGAAAGAATAATTTTTTTTTGTCTTTTTATTACAAAATCGAATTATGCCAATTTTTTTCTGGGCTGATTTGCTTTCATTTTCACCATAATTCGCATGTTGATACTGATTTAATGTTAAAAAATATTATGTCCTCAGAATTCACTCAAGCTATACCACTTCTATTTCGATTGTATGCAATTGATCAATTTATTCTGACTTATTAATTGGATCAAATAAATATATACAACTTATTTTACATATATACTAACACATGTAATAATTGCCTTTCGTTTATTATCTTTTTTTGCTATTATATATTATAAAAAAACATTTCTTTTTTCTTTTACACGGAAAATTTCATAGAATTTTCTGAAGCATGCTACAGCTAATTTTCCAGCCTTTTTCTCTATTGTTGAATCTTTGTCTACGTACTTTTTCATTTTATCTGTTGTCAAAAGCTCATTGTTGATCAGTGATAATGTTGTTTTTTTATTCTAAATCATCACACTACTCAACAGAAAAGATTCTATTCAGTTCAGTTATTAAATGAATTTCAAAGAGTTAGCTCATGCCAAAATCAATCAACTATCACATTTATCGACTTATTGAATAAACTTAAGCTTAGAAATAGTAGTTTTTAAACGACTATCTGAATTTTTTCTTTTCGAGTAGTGTCAATAACTCTATTTTGTGATTTCATAATTTGTGAAAGTCTTAATGATGACGATTTTCTAATAGTTTGATTTTCAATCAGTGATTGTTGTTCTCCTGTTAAAATCCATCGAATATCATCAAAATCTTATTGTACACGACTGGATCTTCGTTGCCAAAGAGCGGTAAAACCAGGCTACCCAAATCGTAACTACAATGAGAAAATTTTGTTAACTATGACAATCAAATCTATTTTCAACTATCTTACTAATTCAATTAATAGTCGGCCATATTCCAAATCAAAGTAAAGATCTGAACCAAGTGAATTAAAAAATAATTTCCTATCAAAAGGATCACTATTCCAATCAAGTATGGAATTATTTTGAATTTTAACGAGGGAAACGGTTTTATCCGTTTGAAAAGTATACTTAGCCTCTGATATGCATGATGAATTTTCATAATAGTTTCCACTAATACAAAGTATGATACAAGCCGATTTATCCATTTCAGAACATAGATCATGTTGCTCGTCTGCTACCTTCGAATGTGTTTCGATGGAAAAAACTTCTTCAGTTAATCGATTGATTAATCGTTGACAATTTTTCATATCATTTCGGTTATTACTAACAACAACATTGTATAATCTACCCATTCTAATATTAGATATATCTTCAGATCGTACTGACTGACTAACAGCAGAACTTGGACGTTCTATTGTCGATGTAGTACGTAGTTTTTTCTCTGCCATTAATTCAGACAATATCAAGATCAAACAATACATCATTGTGAAGATCAATTATTGTTAAGCAGATAAGACTTCAGTTTGAAAGCGCTATATAAACTTTCTTCTTAAAGACGACATTTTTGTAAAACTTTTATTTGAAAGACAGAATTATTTGGTAATCTTATCTCTTGTATACGAACCTCTTGTTACTTCAAGTATCATAATTGGATATGAAATACGCTTTTCAACGATTTCTTACAAAATAGAATGATAAGTGTAACATGGATCGTCAAAAACAAGATGAAGATAATGAAGTTGTGATTCGAGAAATATTGTAGATTTAAGTTCATGGAATAATGAATTAATGCTTGTTATAGCTTCTGGTAAAATACAAATAATTCGTATCCCAGGTCGAGCAGACCGGGGCGGAAACGTCAGGTTCCGATGTCTTCCCGCGATTTCACGGAAGCAGTATTCCGGAACGGATTTTCCCGGATTTTTCCACCATATTTCCACTCATATCCCAACGGAAACACCGGGAAAAATCAGGAAAAAATCCAGGCGGTTCTTTTTCTGATCCACATACACGTCGTAGGAACGGAAACAGTTGGAAACGAGTGGATCTTCGACGGAATTTTTACGCCGCTTTCCATACGAGTATCTCCGACGTTTCCAACATATTTCCCGAGAATTCCAAAACCGGAAAGACATCTATGTCAACCGTATCAGTATCCACACCGCTTCCTCAATCATATTCTAAACCCATCTCCCACCTCAAACAGTTCGGACACATACCGATACCAGCAAATAGTCGCTCTATACTCTAATGTTATTGACCTTTGACCGAATCACACCAGTCACTCACTACACCATATCCCTACGAGCATATCGAGCTGGTCAGAAACTGCCGCAAACAGAAATTCAAAATTCGAAAAGTTGGATTTTTTATTTCAGCTCCCAGCTAAATTCTGAGATAAGTTTGTAATAGGTTATCGAGGTCGACGAATGCGAATCCGGCATCGTCGATTGCGCTCTGGTATCCGACAGTTGAATGATTGTTGTTATCAATCGGTTTTCTGCTGTAAGATTGCATTGGATTTCGATCCTGGGGTGCCAATTCTGCTTCCAATCAGATCCTATTGTGGGATTGATCGACCCGGGATAGTGAATATAGTGTTAACGACCGTTTACGGCCACGGTAATCTTCCTCGTGGGTGTGATGCGGCGTAGGTATGCTGTAGTTCTTGACGGTGTCAGACCGCATACAGAAAGTTTCGGTAAATAGTCCGTTGCGGATATGGTAGTTTCCTGAAGGAGTTCATTGCGTATGTGGTAATTTCCGGGTGGTTCCGGTCAAGTGGATTTTGTTGGAAAGTTATGGATCCGGTACGGTGATTTCCGGCCCGGAATCCTGCTTCCATTTGCCGAATGCTTTCCGGGCGGTTCCAAAGGGAAACACTCTGTATTTTAGTGGAATTAGCCGGAAAAAAGGCCGTTTCCTTTTGTTTCCTGCAGGATCCGGACCCCGGAATCATCGTCTTGGGGTGCCGGGAAATCTTTCCGGATACGTTTACATATTTCCAAAAGGGTTTCCGGAGGAGTTTCAGTTTCTGGGAAAATGATTTTTATTTAGAATAAGCGCGTACTATTGTACGTAGTTATACGTTTCATGAAAAGTGTTCTCTTCTCGTGCAGTGAGTAACAAGAAATTAGTGTTTTAAATGATATGAGGTTAATATGCATGCTTTGAGTTAAAGAATAAGTACAGATTGTTACAGAGGCCCCGCTGTTACCTGAAATCAATTCACAAAATAGAGATTTATGTTTCTTTTAACCAATCAACAACCAATTTCCTATTTTCGATTCCTAATCTGAATCTCTTTTTCCTATTTTTTTTGGCTTATGCACTATATTTATTCGTGGCATCCATTTATATTTTTTGTGATTTTTGTGGACGCTTACGAAAACAATAGTCAGCAGACAAGACTACACGATAACAAACAAAGAAAGGATGACAAGGAAGAGATACGTGAAAACGTAAACAACAGAACGNGGTTTAATTATTCCTGGTTTTGAATGTTATTTTCAACGTGATGATGATGATGAATTATATTCAGATTGGTACAATGATGGTGAACAAACCGAATCGGATGATGCTAAAATTGATAATAATGTGCCATTGGATGTTCAAGATGTTGTTAAACAATTTCTTGATCCAATTGCTGTTGATGATGAATCATTTCGCTTGCCATGTTACGCCCATTCTATTCAATTAGTTATTAAAGATGGTTTAAAGGTTTCAACTTGTGTTGAGCCATCATTAAAAAAAATTTCAAAAATAGCCAAGCTATCTCATTCTTCAACAGCAGTAAAAGAACGTCTTGAAAATATTCAAGTATGTGTTCCAAATGCCAATAAAACTCGTTGGAATTCACAATATGATATGGTTGGAACTGTAATTGGTATTTAACCATCTGATTTAAATGATATTTTAATACAAACAAAACATCGAGAATTATGTCTTAAATCATTAGATTATCAAATGCTAAATGAATTTGTTTCTTTATTAACACTTTTTGCTGAAGCTACAACTACCACACACGCCCAGCATGTTCCTTCTATTTCAATAGTAGCACCTTCAATTTTAGCTATTTATCAGGATCTTTTACTTGAACGAGCAAACGTTAAACATGCATCAAGTTTATGTGGATGTTTATTAGAACCACTTTTATCTCGTTTTGGTGGTATGTTGGAACAAATGTTATTAGTAATTGATATTTCAGAAAAGAAAAAATGAAAAAAATTTACGATCTTTTCAAAGATCCTGTCTTTTTAGTAGCACCATTTTTAGATGGCCGATTTCGCCTCAATTGGATATCAAGTTCATCTCTTTTGGAACAAGTACAAGAAGAATTATCTAGCAAAATACAATAACTTGTATTAGAACAATGTATTTTAATTGAATAAGTTAATGCACCACTTGGAACATCAGAAAATGATAATCCAATGTTAAGTCCAATAGCACAAACACAATTATTATCTGCTAGTGCTGCAGCAAGTCCAATTACACCAAAATGAAAATATTTATTTACCAACATTATGAAAGAAACAAAGAAAACCTAAGTCGGATCCATTCAACTATATTAAAAATGATATATTAAAATACTTGAATGATGAAAATGCAGATGATATGGTTCTTTTAAAACCTTCGAATATTTATCCAACTCTTTCCAAATTAACAATGAAATTTTTGTCGATTCCAGCAACTTCTGCTCCGATTGAACGTGTTTTTAGTTAGAGCGGATTTCTGTTTCGTCAACATCGTGCATCAATGACACGAACTACTTTACAACAATTAACAATGCTCAAATGTAATCGTGGTCTATATTAAATATATGCTTTAGGATATTATTTTTTTATCAAACTTCATCAATTTTTTCTCTACTATTTCTTTACTTATTATTTAACACTTTGTTTTTTTTATTAGTTGCTTTGAAGTTTTTTGGTTATCCCATTGTGCCTCGTTTACAATGAATCGATTTTTATATGATGAACAACAATAAACTCTTTTTAACGCGTTCAACTTATGATAAACCAAAACAAAATTTGTTACATAGAATTTCGTAATAAGACTGACTTGATTTCAACTCAATTCAGTAATTGAATTGAGTTGAGAAAAGTTTTCAATGTAAATGAATTAAATTGAATTGGACAGCTTTTTGGGTTGAGTTGCCCAGCTCTGAGAAGCAGCAATCGTCGAGACATGAAAAGCCTTTAAAAATATTTTCAGTTATTCAGCAAGGGCAACTTTGTTTTTCATCATTATTATCCTTTCTAAGGAAGAAGAAGACAAGTAGGTGAATAGATTATGCTCAGCGAAAATTAGGTTTTCTTTTTTTTAAAATTAGTATTGCTATAAAAGAAAAGAGCAAGACATTGATGGTGGCAGAGAGTTGTTCAGCGTGTTCACTTTTTTCATCATGATTAATGTAAATAATATAAGGATTAGTAATATCGTTTCACAAAAAGGCTTACGAAATCTTCTCAATAGAATAATCTTCTTCTTCTTCTTCTTCTTCACTACGGAGAGCATAATATTGTTATAAATTCACACAGGACAACATTATGCTTTTTTCAACTCAATATGAATAACCAGACAAATAGTACTTCGTATGTATCGGGAGACATATCTACTAGTATCAGTCTTAAACAGCGCATTACCACACTATCATTATTATCACATTTGCTATGCCATCGTTGATCTCATTTCTCATTATCTTTTATTATTTTATTCGATTGCGCAAAAGGTTACTTTTTGATCGTATCAATCATCATGTTATTTTATGCATATTAATCAGTGACTTTTTGTTAATTGTAACTGCCTTACCATTTGCGTTGCACTATCTTTCATTAGGATATGTGCAGACTAAAAAAGTATGTTTATTTTGGATTTTTTGGAGTTATTCTCTTGGAGCTGCATCTTTATTTCTTACAGTGTATACATCGATTGAGCGTTACCTATTAGTATTTCATAAACAATGTATTGTGAACCATCAATTATTGCTTCATTATATTCCATTGGGATTCGCAGTTTCTTATGCTTTCGGTATTTACATGTATCTTGTCCTATTGTTTCCATGCACACCAAGTTATCAGTACGATTTAATGACATTTGTGTGTGGAGGACCCTGCTATATGAATGCTTTTGTTCAAAGCATGTATGATACAATTGTTGATACAATGTTACCACCTTGTGTTTCATTGATTTTCAATATATTATTTATTGTTCGTGTGATTAGACTCAAACGAAAAGTGACACCATCAATATTGATATCGAATACATTGAAAAAAAGCCGACGAATGACATTACAATTATTTGCCATAAGGTTAATGGCTTTAATAAATTGGATGCCTTGGGTTGTTATAATCTTAGTACAAGATTTTTATGATCCATCATTTGGTGAGCAGTTTATTAACAATGTCATTTATTATGTACCATATTTTACATGTTCTGCTTCACCGTTTTTGGCATTGATTGGCCTGCCAGAGATCCGTGAAGAATTCAAGAAAATAATGTATCGACCCACGATTGCTCGGCATACGATTGGTACAACTATAAACAATGACAAACACGAACAGTAGCAACAGCCGACGAGCAATTTGCTGTACGTCACCATTATAAATCAAGTGGTATGATTAAACAAGTACTCATCAAATAAAAATAGATGTTTATAGCTTTGTGTGGCTTGCTTGTTTTTAGTATTTGTCTATGTTACAGAGTACTCTAGCAAGTTATTTATCTTTTTATTTCTCATACGCTTCTTGTTTCATCTTTATACGTTATGCATTTCTTATATCTGCAGTCCAACTCAAGATGCACATACGTTAATTACTCTTTTTCGTTATTTCTTTCCTCTCTCTTCATATCTCTCTATTGTGTCTCTTTCCTCACGGGCCTGACGATGTAAACTGAATGGCATAGTTTCTTCGACTAGAATTTAAGTGCTTTTATAGAATGATGGGTGTGGGTGTGGTGTGGGTGTGTGGGCCGTACAGTATAATTAGGAAAAAGAGATGCCGAGGATGGCGTAGTGGTTCTATGTATATGATTATTATTAATCAGACATGTGAAGGTTCGATCCCTTCTCCGGGCACGGTGTCTTCGGTGTCAAGATATACGGTATCGGAAGAATAAACAAAGGAAGAACAGTACTGCACGCCAATTTCGTCATCACTGCCACGATTTCAACTTTCGTTCTGTTGTTTACGTTTTCACGTATCTCTTCCTTGTCATCCTTTCTTTGTTTGTTATCGTGTAGTCTTGTCTGCTGACTATTGTTTTCGTAAGCGTCCACAAAAATCACAAAAAATATAAATGGATGCCACGAATAAATATAGTGCATAAGCCAAAAAAAATAGGAAAAAGAGATTCAGATTAGGAATCGAAAATAGGAAATTGGTTATTGATTGGTTAAATAGGAACCTAAATCTCTATTTTGTGAATTGATTTCAGGTAACAGCGGGGCCTCTGTAACAGTCTGTATTTATTCTTTGACTCAAAGCATACATATTAACCTCATATAATTTAAAACACTAATTTCTTGTTACTCACTGCATGAGAAGGAAACACTTTTCATGAAACGTATAACTACATACAATAGTACGCGCATATTCTAAATAAAAATCGTTTTCCCAGAAACTGAAACTCCTCCGGAAACCCTTTTGGGAACCTGTAAACGTATCCGGCAAGATGTCCTGACACATGCTGACTTTCTGACAACAGATTCTCAGTCTGTGAAGCCACGGAAACCGTTGAGTTTTCGACAAATCGTAACCTATGGCGCGAGAGTCTTGATTCAAATTTATTTATTTATTTTTTCTCAACAAGAACTTAACTTTTCAGTTAATCATATTAAAAGAAAATACGTAAATGCATGTACTAAAAATTAAAATGAGCAAGCTGCGAATGGTCCTTTATCAGCAATTTTTCGTAATTGCTTTCTTATTGACGAAAACATTGCTTGTACAGGCTTCATGTCAATTCTTTTCAGCTGTTGTTGTATCCTTCGTTTTAATTGGTCGATTGTTTTGGCTTCCCAATCACCGCCATAAACCTTTTCTTCTAATATTTGCCAAATTGTTTCAAAAGGACGTGCCTGAGAACAATTTTGTGGATTTTTTTCTTTAGGTACCAAATTGATATTTTTCTCTTCGAAAAAAATTAGTTACACTTGCAGCATAATGACTTGATGTCAAATCGGGCCAGAATAACACTTTTTCGATATTATGATAGCTGTTTAGAAACGGCATCAAACCTGCTTCAATATATTTTTTCAAATGTGTTCTTTCATTAATTGCTTGTGTTTGTTTTGCAAAGAACGGCTTTGATATCCCTTTTCCAGATATTGCCATTCGAACCAAAATTTTAGCAGGATACTTTTGAGTGCGTTTAAATTTCACTTCTGAAGGTGTGGTACTTGGATCTGATGTGTAGAATCCGCGATTAGTTGACACTGATTCATTAGTTAAGGTGAAATATTTTTCATCGTCCATAATGAGTTCAACATCATTGTTCAATAATGTAGGATATANCGAGCACGGTTGAAGCTTCTTCGATTTGTTTTTCTGTGTATCGAAGAGCAGGTTTCTTTTTTCGATAGTGTATACCATATCAATCAATTCACGTTGAATAGTCCTTCGATGAACATTGAATTTTTGCGCTATTCTTCTTAATGAAATACCAGTCTGATGATTCACCAATCTTTTGAGACGTGTTCGTTGACCGGTAGATATTTTTCGTGGAAGACCACTTCTGGGTTTGTCTCCAATAGTACCACATGTATCATACTTCCAGATTATACGGTAGATGGTCTTGACGTGGAATATTTCAGTCAAAAAATGATTGACAGTGATATTCTTCTTTATCTTAGCTACTGTTCTGTGGTGTTGTACAATACGTTTTGCAAGTTGCTCTCTAACAGAACAACGCATTATTTTATAGAAATAAGTGTATACAATAAATTATAATCGATTAGAACCTCTACATACGACCTCTTCAAGGAGTCACAAATGAGAAAAAAATGGCTCACTTACAAGAAAATAAATGACTAATACTTTTGTACCAAGACTTTCGCGCCATAGGTTATGTGGAAACGTTCAACTGTATTTTCAAAAACTCTGATGCTACTTTTGAAAGCCGCAATGTTTCCTCAGAAACCGTGGTTGATTTGAAAAAGGCTTGTTAGCATAGCCCCTCTGGAGTTAAAGTGTCAAACTCCCGCATATCCCTTATATTTACTTAACTAATGCAAAATAGCTAGTGGAAAATTTAGAGCAGTCATCCTATTCCGCAATGTTGAAAATTTCGGAACCAGCTCCGTCGATTCCAGAATTAGGTCAAATATGAACATTGTCCGATTCCGGAATTAGTTCGTCCGATTCCCGGAATTCAGTCCAATTTCGGAATTAGGTCAATACGGAATCGCTGGGACTTAGACGGAATTCCTAGGAATTCTGTTCAATTCCTGTTCGACCTAATTCCCGGAATTCCGTACCGGAATTGCAGGGTGTGGGTGTAAATGTGGGTGTTGCCATAAGTGTGGGTGTTAGTGCGGGTGCACTGAATTCCGGAACCGTTGAGAATTAGGCGGAATCCGTAGGAATTCCGTGTAATTCCGGAATTGAATTGGAAGGGATAAACGGACTTTCGGGAATTAGATAGAATTGGTTCCGGAATGTTCAACATTGCGGAATAGGATGTATTCTCCACACAAACAGGAAGAGAACAGAGAGAAAAAGAGCGATATACAGCTAAATAGAGAGACAGCGCATGAGAGAGAAACATATTATTATGTATAGAAATATCACTTACACTCGAACATATGTATAAATCGTCACAAGTAGCATTCTAATTAATTCGAATCGACCATCTTTATCTCAACAACCACAACAGCAATATTTATACAATAATCATAACGGATTGCAGAGGCCAAATACGAATAATTATCATACTAGACCTAATAATGCCTACCCGCCCGGGAGTCAAGGATGGTATGCAACTGGTGGTAATTACTGGCATAATAAGGGACAGTGTCTTACTCAACAACTGTATATTTTAATGCTGAGCATTCTGATTTTATTTGGTTGTACATAATCGATAATACATGGATACTTTTCTATTTTATCTGATTAACTTTTGTTTCATATAATCAGCGTATATACAAAATAAAATTTATATTTATCACAAAGCTTTCGTTTTTACGTTTAACAATGGTTAAAATTGAATTTTTTCACTTGATTGAATATATTTTTCAAAATTGTCATGAGATTATTTAGCGGATATCGTAATTCCTCTACCATAGAGTTTATCTGATTGCGTACTCCTTTCAATGGAACGTCTCCGTGAAGATGTCTTTTGTCCTGATTAAGAAAGTGCAGCCTTCACCATTCATCGACTTAGTACTATCACTATCATTGGAAAATGCATAACTACACTTGCTTCATTGTGAAACGAAGCAAGATGTGAGTATACTTGTTTGTAACATTTTGTTTTGAAAATTGTTTATTGCATTATGAAAATACCAATGGTTCTTATTCATATTAAAATTTTTAGAGGTATACGGTAGCTGTACATGATTGACTTTTGCGTATTCTATTATTCTAAAAAGACTACTCTTGGTGCAATATGAATTCACTGTATGTTTTTCAATCGTACAGTACAATTGAACATTAGAAAATACTCTTACATCGTCAACAAATTTCTAGTTCTCAATTATTCGCTTCAATTTATTGGAGTCTATGTAAGTGCACATCAATGGAGAGCTTCTCTGACTATTTTCATATTTGATGCTTGTTAAAATCTTTCACTTTTAAAATTCAACTACATTCAATACATTAGTCTAGTCGATAGGCAACTCTTATTGTTTTCGTTTTGAATACTAAAAATAAAAATCTTTCAAAACTACTTGCACTTAAAAGATATTGAATCGATAAACAAAACATAAGCTCATTTTTTTCTCACTCGTATTAACAAATTTAAAGGAACTGACATTTTCTTGCTAACTATTCAGTTATATTACACAAGAAAATGTCACATCTAGGTATTTACATTATCATCCCAAAGAAAAATCATTTTCAATTCATCGTTTTTTTATTAAGGTTTTGTTTTTGAATCAGATTCTCATATCGTCAGAGCCCACATTTATAAAGAATCTAGATTTTGATTGTTCCTATTACAAAAAGGTTTGAAATTTAAAAAAAAAAGAAATGACTGACAATTAGAAGGCATACAATTATGAAAGTATACATGAATACGTATTAGAGCCATCTGTTGACGTAAATAATTATACAAGTTAAGTAATTCAGAAGAATTCAAGTATTAGTGCAGAATCAATAAATATTTAATTTGAAAGCGCCTTGTAATATGACCTAATTGTCAGCTTACTAATAATAAAACGTATAGAAATATTAACTGTTTTGGTTACTCCATCCGAAATGTACGAGTTTCCTTCTAACTTCACACAATCAAACACTATGAACATTAGCTTGTTGATGGAACAACTTTTTGTCTTCGTCGCCACCATAATAATCGATCTTTTACCAGATGATGAAAACGGGATGAGTAAAACATGAATAGATAGAATCGTCCCTAGAAAAACAAATTGCATAAACAAAACGCTATTTCGCAAGCAAACGTACTCCATAAGCGACTGAGCAAAAAATGATTGTGATACTATCGGCCAAGGCATCATCGACGTTTTGAGCAGCAGTTTTTGCAGCATACATTGTAAAGATCAGATAAATACAGAACATACCGTGTGGTTTTAGACTTACGAAGCTGAGCAAGACTTAAGTGAAAACTATAATAATTAACGGCCGATCGACACGCAGACGCGAGAGAACAATTGTGTTTTTAATGTTTTGATCAACCAAGATTCCAAAGACT